CTGGAGAACAAAGCAGCACCCAAATAGATTTTTTTCACTCCTAAATTAAATCATCCAGCTGATCAGATGAAGGGGGAAGGGCTGTGGAAATTAACGGGATAGTAATTAACAGAAGATAAAAACCTTGCCTTCTTAAAACCTTGGCTTCTTTAGATTACCAAAGCAAGTTTTGCTTCTAACTCCATCCTGGCTCCAATTAGTTTGTAGTATGGGAACAGACTTGAGGGGCTGTGGGCAAAATGGCTCTGCACTGCATTTACAGATGCAGTTGGGACTACAGCACACTGAGCCAGGTCAGAGCAGCTCCAGAGCTGGCAAGGAGCCCGGGGGGGTCATTAAAGGTGTTTAGTTCAAAAGTGCATTGCTGCCATTTTCTGTGCACTAACACTCATTTACCACTTATACAACTGCATGCAATGCAGCATGGTGTGAATCAGCTTGCATGTGGAGCAGACTTGATTAGTTGAATCTGCTCCAATATGTTGAATCTGTGGTATGTTGCAACATGAAAAAGTATGCGTATAAATCCCCTGGGAGATCAAATCTATCCAAAAGGAGGGGGTCATTCTCACCTTTCAGCTGGGGGAAGAATTCAGGAGTCAGGTAAAATATAATGTGGAATAAGGTAATTTTTCTAGGAGAAGAACAAATGAAAGCAAGAAGGCTGAAAACTTATTGTATGAGTCCTCATTTGCCTTACTTAGTTCAGAGCATCATTAAAGGCAGGTTTGACAGGGAGATTGAAAGGAAAAAGGCTGTTCTATTTATTAAATGTTGACTCCCAGTGTGGGGATTCAGCTCCTGTTGAAGTCAGTGGGTTTTATATTCTCTGTATAGCTCCCAAAAGATGAAAAGGTACTTTGTAGAAACAGTGCGGAGTGAAATGCAAAAACTTCATCCTCTTCCACTGATAACACTTGGGCTTGTTCCTTCAGATAAAGCAGTGATCCCGATGGTATGCTAAAATGAAACAGTACGACTTTTTGTGGAGGCAGTGTGGGTGGGGGTGATATTCCTGGTTAGTCTTGTATTGCAAAAATAAGTCATATTTCATGCTTGTTGCTGAATAAATTATAAGATTGCTGTTACAACACAGAAGATAGAATTTATCTTTCATATTTAGTCAATGCATCTGAGGCCTGTTTCGTGGGAGTATTCTGGGTTTTCTGAAGAAAGTGTTGCATTTTTCTCTTGGTTCAGTTCAGTTATGGGGATAATTGATTTAATTATCAGTGATTCAAGGGCAGGTGGAAACATTTCACTTAAGGTATCCGTTAGGCCATTCAAAATAACAGCTTGAAACACAGGTATTGTATCTTGTTAATAAGCTGTATGAATTTTACGTATGAAATAAGTGCAGAATCCAGAACACATTGGACACATGGAAGAAGTAACAGTATATTTGGCTATATGCACAACTAGCCTAGTTTCATGGTAAACTAAATGTGGAATTAGGGGTCCATGCTTGTTCAAGAGAAATTTAATGAAAGTCCTTTTACAGTGAAAGAGATGTTAAGCTCCAGTAATTTCACTGCACCATAATGTGCATATTCAGGATATTTCACAGGTTCAGGATATTTGCACAGGGTAAACTTCAGCTTTCCATTCAACAAGGTAAAAATGACAAGGCACGAGTTCAGTCATACCTAAGGCTTGAAGCAGGACTTAAATGATGCATAAGCCCTGGACTGGCCATCCCTAACATAATGAATGGCACTGTTCCAAGAAAGGAAAAGAGGGACTTCTATATTGGATCCTTACTGAATGCTTTTGAAACTATCATTTTATTTAAATTCCTTAAAATTAATTTATTTAAGTTCTCTATAGCTTTGCTTTCTGTGTTAAATTGGGACAGTGAGATCTGTCTTGTGATGCATATGCACAAAATAAGCTGTGACAAACAGTACATGGAAACCACATGGGGAAACTCAAGAATCATTTTAACTTGATGATAAGCTATGGGTTTAGTTTCTTTGGGAACAAACTAGAAGTTATTTTTTTTCTCTTGAGTATAAGTTTGAGAGGCTGTCTTCATTAAAGTATTTTCTTGTGTGTGATTTTTTTTTTAAATCTGTTTCAACAGGCATTGAACAGGGGTATCGCAGCTGTCAAGGAAGATGCTGTGGAAATGTTGGCCAGCTATGGGCTAGCTTACTCTCTAATGAAGTTCTTCACGGGTCCAATGAGTGACTTCAAGAATGTGGGCCTGGTATTTGTGAATAGCAAGCGAGACAGAACCAAAGCTGTTTTGTGTATGGTTGTAGCTGGTGCTGTGGCTGCTGTATTTCATACCTTGATAGGTAAGTCTTCCTCACCTGTTATTCAGATACCTTTCAATTTGCCTCCCTTATGGAACTGAACAGATACCTGTTGCTGTTGCCCCAGGATTGTTGCTGCCCCCAGCCCTGATGCACTGGGAGCTCTGAGCTCTCCTTTCTGTGTTCAAAGGAAATCATGAGGGGGTAGGTTTTCTTGCAACAGGAATCCTCTGTGGGTTGCACAGCATCATTGTGTTTTGAACAGGTTTAAAGCGGTAAATTCTTCCTGTAGTTCATGTCCATGCATGCACTCTACCACCAGCATGTGGTTGCCCAACTTACTGCCAGTCTATTTCAGTCATGCTTATGGGCCAGGCTATCGTACAGTTGTCTGGATGGAACTAGACGATGATACTGTCTGACTGCTATGTAGCTGAGTCAGCTAACAATAGTCGTATCAATGGGGTCACCAGTTCACTCTGCAGGAAGACATCCCTTTGTACTGCATGGAGCCATTTCTCAGGACTTTCTGGCACACTATGTACTTTACACCTGCTTCATGCATACAAGATGAGCACCTTGGCATCTGTCTTCCTCCATAGTACAGCCACCACTAAGTACAAAACTAGGCAAGCAAGAGCTGGCACTCTGGTTTAAAACAGCCAACATCATCTTTCACCCAGCTCGGTCATCATCCGTTTTTCAGTATAACTAGCATTAGCTTTTATCAAAATTATTTCATGCCAAACTGAAACCAGGGCCCTGATGGAACATTGGAGCAGGAAGACTGCATAAATACACCTTGGTCTAGCTCTGAAAAAAAAAGTGAGCAACAAGAGGTGCAGATTTCTGCCAGACCAATGAAACATGATATTCATTCAACTACCCACCAGCACCATTAGCAGTTGGAGGCCACAAGTCCTTTGACAACAGGACCAGATTCACTGCCCCCTGAAAACAAACTTCAGGTCACTGAGCAGAATGGATCTCTCTACATCGTGGAGAAGGAGACTTTGGGGAAAGAAAAAGATGCAGGTATAGTGTTATATCTTTTTTATAGTTGTGGGCTGTCTGAGGAGATGAATGGAGAGAAATTATGAAGAATGTGAAATGGTATGGTGGTCAGCAGAAACTCCATCAGCAGTCTGAAAGTAAGGAACTGCTTTTCTCTTGAAAGTGTGTGTGTGTGTGTGTGTGTGTGTGTGTGTGTGTGTGTGTGTGTGTGTGTGTGTGTGTGTGTGTGTGTGTGTGTGTGTGTGTGTGTGTGTGTATAAGCATGTCCATGCATGCATGTATGTGTGCACATGTAAGAGACAGAGAAAGAGAGATTGGTTGCAGAATTATTGACAGTGACCAGTCTGATGCTGTCCCAGCCAGCCTGTAGGTGGTTGGGACCTGTCCTTGTTACTACTCCTCTAGCATGGAGCATCTGGTGCGAACAGATGTCTGTGGCTGTTATCACTGTGGCTTGTTGCCACATTTTCATCATGTTTACCAAATGCCCCTTCAAAGCACACAGGAATGGGTACCTGGCACTCTTGTCAGCTTCATGACCATGTCACCTGCTGTACTGCTGAAATGGTAATCATTGACATATCACCTTAATAAACAGTTAAAAACAGTCACAATAGAGGCAGTGAGCATGTGCTTGCTGGCTGCAGTAGCCTCATGCTAGAGTCAATCTATCACTAACTTAAGTTAAAAATATATATTTAATTCCTTTAATTTCATTAATATATACAGACAGCTTCAATTTACAATAATGGCTTGGGTTTTGCCATTGAAAATTGTGGACAGTCCATATTGTAAACACATAGCTATTTACAAATTCTGTAATGAGATTTTTCCTTGCTTGGTTCATTCCCCAGCCATGAGCCATGTCCTGTATAATGTATGTATCAGATTCAGAGGTATAGCTTTGCTCATTGGACACAATTATGTTCTTGATCCATCTATTCCTCATTCTAAGCTGTTAAAGGTTTCAGCAGGCTTAAAATATAGCAATCAGCTTCCTCCATAGTACAGCCACCACTAAGTACAAAAAGCTGTAAAATGATTCTTCGGTATGTGATCTTATGATCAGTCAACATTGTCTGCATGTAGCCATTCCAAAACCTTCTGGTGAAGTAACTCCAAAGTTTTATCTAAAATAGAGCACTTCTGTACTCAGAAACTCGTGAACCCCATCCTTGCCCTTCTAGGAAAGAAAGAAACAAAAACATGTTTACCTGCAATACTTTGTAAAGCCTGAATTTGAAAGTGCTTCATCCAGTCTTCCAGATGTTCACAGTGGCAGAGTGGAAAACATTTTGTTATGTTGCCATGGGTGTGCCTGAAAATATATAAAGACCACATCCAAGATTGGTAGGGAACCGAAGAGAACTGAGTTAGTTAGATACCTAGCCTTAGTTGACTGTATGATGCTGTCAAGTTTTATGTTTCAAGTTTCCTTTGAATATGTTTTAAATCCTGCTTATCCTTTTCTGACCCAGAGACGTACAAACTTCATTGCAAGAGGAGGAGCCCAGTGGCTGACTGGCAGCCTCACAGGACCAGCAATTGGTTTTCAGCAGCTGTGTGCTTGTCACAAACTAGCTCCAAATGAGATCAAAGCCCAGGTTACATATACTTAAATGCCACACACCAATCCACTGAATGAGATGCTTCTGTGGTGGATAAGGAGGATGAAAGGGCCATCGTCATATACATTGAGCCTCAACTACAGAGGAACAGAAACACCTTGAGGAAACAAGAGGGAGGGAAGAAAAAAAACAGCTGTGGAAATGAAATTAACTCTATTCTTATCAGCACATTTGCAGCTGTAATTAGTGCCTAGGCAGGCCTCCTGGCAACTCTTATTCCTTGAAAATGCCAAAATAGGACATTTCACACTGGTGAACTCATGCTTACTTCCTTCTGCACCAGACTATCTTTACCACCCCTTCATATGAGTCGCAGAAATCTTCTATGTTGGTGTCCAGTTGAGACAAACAGTACAGACTTGCACCTGCGAGTTTTCTGTGTGCCTCTTGGTACTGAGAGCACCATCACCCCATCACTGTATACAGGAGACCGATGAATAATTTTCATCACTCTGAGACACATGATAGTGTGTACCAAGAAATTAATGTACATGGCCACAGTCATCTAGTGATTCTGTGGCACACCTGGGAAGTCAAATAACATTTCCCTCTGACCTTGAGCCTCAGTCGTGTATCTTGGACATGGCCATCTTTCTTTGTTCTTGCTGTTTCAGTTTCGACTCAGATTTTGACAATGGGTGCTGCCTATTAAATGGCAATGCACCTTTTATGGACTTCTTGGAAAATGTATGATGGCACCAGAGTATAAAGCTCTGAACAGGCATCTGAGAAGAAACGATGAGCTTGAAAAGAGAAAACAATAATGTAGTAGATAACTCTTTCATTATATGTGTATAATACCCTTCACTAATTTCACCCTGCTGGAGAAGGAAACTGATTTATAACATAATTCTCTATTTTATGTGCTGTAGTGACAAACATTCCATATGAGATGGGACCCTTTTAATACTAGGCTCATAATAAAGAATCAAGTCTTTCTCTTCCTTATTGACAAAACTGCACAATTCATTCCTTAGCTGGTTTATTATCTTAGCCTGGCTGCCGCTTAACCCAGACTGACATCTGGATTTACATGCTGATGGAACATGTACTCTGGACATTTCTTTCCAATGAAATGTTTGTATGAATATTCAGTAGAACGTTCTTCAGCTCTCCAAGGTTCTGGAAGTGCACAAAGCAGCAGTCATTTTGGAGACATTCTTAAAGGCACAATCCCTGCATTTAACAAGGCATGTCTAGCTTCCTTTCACATTGTCATTTACTTTTCCCAGGCAGGCAGTAGATAAAGTGTTGCTTGCCAGCTTCAGAACAAAGAATTTCAGTAGCCAGGCTGGAGGACAAAAGGTACTCGGTGCCTAAGAGGCTGTGTAGATGTAATCCAGGTAGAACACTTTCTTATCTCAAGAAATTATAGTATACACAATGATGAACTAAACCGTGTGTGTGTGTGTG